ATGATTTCGAATCCCGGCGAATTGTAATTTGAACAAAATTTGACTAAAATTCATGTATTACTTGTACAATAATTTATAGCATGGATTTTGTTTAAAAAAAGCATTGATACACACTATATAATTTCTATTCAATGACCACACAATAAACCTTACTTACAAAATACAAAAATAGTTCTGTATCATTTGTTTGAGCATGTGAGTGAATTATGGCATCGGATATTGCACAACATCTTTTGCTTTTTACATTTACATTTAGAAGTGCTGCATCCCCCTTTGCATTTACATGAAAAAACCCTGACCACCAGTTTTTGAAAGCTTTTTAACTGCTTCACGTAGCGAAAGTTGAAGCTTAGAAACACATAAAGATGTGTCTTTAATACGTAAACGCATAAAAGGAAGATCGTCATGTCACGCCTGGTAAACATCAATTAATATGTTAAGGTAATCCGCTTTCAAATGTTTGTTACTATGGGCGTTACTAATCACGGCTAACCCAGAAAAGCAGTTCGGACACACGAAATTCAAAAAAATACTTTTTTCGTTTTTTGAAAGAAAATGAATGGAGAATGTGTCCCATCGGACACAGATGATGCCCCCGTTTGCATACAAAATTATAAAGGGACATAACTCAAGAACAATAAAAGTGACGTTACCCAAATTTGTACCTGATCTGAGTTTTGTGGTAATAAGTATTGTGTAAAGGTTTCATAATGTTTGGTTGGTGCAAAAAAAAGAGAGGGACGAAAGATACCGGAGGGACAGTCAAACTCATAGATCGAAAACAAACTGACAACGCCATGGCCAAAAATAAAAAGACAAACAGACAAACAACAGTACAGATGACACAACATAGAAAACTAAAGACTAAGCAACACGAACCCCACCAAAAACTGGGGGTGATCTCAGGTGCTCCGGAAGGGTAAGCAGATACTGCTTCACATGTGGCACCCGTCGTGTTGCTTATGTTATTACAAATCCGGTAAATAGTCTAATTCGGTAAGTCACATTCGTGAAAAGGGAAGGGTATTGTAGTTACGACATAAGGAACATATCCGATATCATCTGTGAAACGGTTATTCCATAACGGTCAACCAACTCGTGATGGCGTCCGTAAAATTTTCGAAGGGATGATTTCAACTTCACCATTTGGAACTCTTGGCTTAATAGCTTCCTTGTGAGCAGCAATCCTCTATCAAGGAAATCATGATAGGAAACACAAGCCCGGGAATATCGTATCAATTAGGAGATAAATACTCCGTATGCAGGCGCTGCTGGAATGCAAACTTAGGTTACAGAACGGAAACTAAAGATTTTGCAATTTTTCGATTTATAAAGGGGCATAACTCGATAATGATTAAAGTGACGCCACCAAAATTCAACTTGATCTGTGTTTTGTGGTAAAAAGCATTGTGTATAAGTTTCATAACATTTGGTTGAGGCAACTTAAGTTAGAGAACGGAAACTAAAAATAAAATTTTGCAATTTTTCCATTTATAATGGGACATAACTCTAGAACGGTAAGAGTGACGCTACCAAAACTCAAACTTGATTTGTATTTTGTGGTAATAAGCATTGTGTATAAGTTTCATAATATTTGGTTGACACAAACTTAAGTTAAAGTACGGAAATTATTTTTTTTTTAATTTTTCCATTTATAAAGCGGCATAACTCTAAAGTGACGCCACTAAAATTCAAACTTGATCTGTGTTTTGTGGTAATAAGCGTTATGTTTAAGTTTCATAACATTTGGTTGAGGCAAACTCAACTTAGAGAACGGACACCAATTTTGGGACGTACGGACGTACGTACGTATGTACGTACAGACGGACAAGGGTAAAACTTAATGCCCCCTTCGCTACGGCGGGGGCATAAAAATACTTTACTTTGACTTTTTCTGGTAAAAAATATGCCATACATAAGGACGATATCGTAGTTGACCTATGGATTTCATGTATTTATTAATTTTCAGGAGAATATCATGGCGTACATAGTTTATAAAAGAGCTGCTTGGTTAATTACACGGGCCAAAATCATTAACCATAAGATAACGGAATGAATTTTCTCTTGTGTGTTAGTGCAGCTAGCATTTTCAGTTATTTAATCCATGACCGTGAAATCAGCAATAAAGATAACCTTATAAAGAAATGTGTTTTTGTATTCTACTTATCACCGTCAGCGAATAATAAAACTGTTTATTTGTTTACGAATATAAGCCTGTCCCCAGTCAAGAGCCTGTAAATCAGGTGTACAGTAGTCGTTGGTTGCCCACCCAATTTCGTCAATATAACGGAACTATAAACAATTTTCATGCAAGTTGGAGGTTTATGTAGCTATAAAACCAGGTTCTACCCACCATTTTCTTTGGGAGAAGTCTGTACTGTCAGGAATATGACAGTTGTTTTTCATTCGTTCCGTTTGCTGTTTGATTTTGTCAGTTTTTATGGACTTCCACTTCTTGATTTACCTTTGACTTCAGTATTTTTCTTAAACTTTTTTGCTGTGGTTATATATTATTTTTTACATAACTCAGGCCGTTGATATTCTCGTTTCAATTGTTTAAACTAGAAGATGCCTGCTAAATCGCGGTACAATTGGGCAAGTGTTGAAACTAAGAGTATCAAGGGTGCCTGTGTTTACACATAAAACGGGGGAGGGGTCCGGACGTCGGGTGTCTGTGTTTACACATAAAAAGGGGGAGGATCACTTCGACATGTTCAACGCCCATTTCATTTTTGGACAGTTCTGCACCTGAGTAGAAAAAGGTGGATGTCGTTTAATTTAGCAAAATGTTGCACTTACAATACAATACAGGATCCTTTTAGGCCGAACTGTCCTATTTTCTATCCTTTCTTCTTACTTTCACTTGGATTTCGCGGGCAGTATGTCGACTGAGCAAGCGCGCAAACGTATAAGACACGGATCGATAACCGCGTTTAAAAAATTGGCGTTTTCTGAGGAAAAAAGATTGTTTCAAAGACAAATTTAGGACGTACAAAACACTACATTATACGTCAAATATTTCCGACCTTGTATGGTTTCAGAGGAGTTGCGGCTCAATGCAATCGGTCTCTTCCTTTAGTAGTATAGATATATAGTCATGATGAGGCCTTTTATATCTTGCTATACGGTATTGGTTTTTGCTCATTGTTGAAGGCTGTGTGGTGACCTATATTTGCTTAAATCTACGTCATTTCGTCTCTGGTGGATACATTTTTTTGCATTCCATTTTCAATTTACATTATAAAGTTGGGTGAGATATCTTATGAATTCAATAAAAGAACAGAGTTCCATTTCCCCCGTGTTGCATCTGTTCCAGGACAATAACTAACGTTGGTTCTTTAAAACGTTTTATAAAAATCTTAGAGAAACACAGATTTTAAAGCTCTAACAATGCAATTATCCTTACAATTAATATTTCCAAGGAACATAATTCTTTTAATCAAAGCATCGTCGGTGCTATGATCCAGCCATTTTTAGTTACAGGTAGTGGGACATTTTTTTTTTTAACTCATTTTCAATATTTGTTTCTTTATACAAGCTACTGTAAGACATTTCGAGACAACCATCACATCTTTGGATAAGTGATTTTAGCCTAAAATGTTAACTTGTCTTTAAACACTTTCAAAAGAGAAGAAACCAAGGGACAATCTAAAATCACAAGTTAAAAAAAAACAACACAAGGATTGAAATGTACAACGTCATCATTTTCATTATTATTTCGCTAAAATGTTATCATTGTTATTTTTCCTTTTTAAAATCACCCCTTCTAATTCATGAAATTCTCAGAAAAAAAAAGTGTACTTCTACTAAGTTACTGCTGACAATCAAAGTAATAGAAATCACTGATGGAAAGAATGGAAGAGTTGTTTGCATAGTTTCAAATCATCTTCTCAGGTATCGTGGTGAACTAAAAAAAACTTAGTATATCATTCCTGCATTAAATTTAGAAAGATAATTTTGGTTTTTCTTCAGTGTAAAAAAAACAAACTTGTCTCCCTAGATTTACTTGTAAATGGTTGCGTTTGGAAGTAGTTCTATGTTTAAACATAGGTATGCAATTTTTTTAACTCATCTTAATGTCATTTATTGCTTTTTTATAAAATTTATATGACACTGAAGATGAACAGTTTTATTTCATTTCCATTATATAACTAAACAAATTGTATTCAATTGCACAAAGATGGAGAATTTCTCCATACTGATACAAATTCATTAGATTTTTCAATATTTAGGATAATATCTTCTTTTTTCAATTAAATAGTTTTGAAATGATTGGAAATAGATATCTTCAATGGAAGGTGTAGTATATTCTTTTAATGAGGTTTGAATTATTAATTTCCAGAAAGAGGCATTGAACATGCACTTTTTTAACAACAAAACTAAATAACTTGTATTACTTTAAATTGGTATTCATTCTTCATTGTGAAAAAAAAAATCCTGTATTCAAAAGTTATACAAATACCATATACTGTTGAATAGCAATATAAAGGGGAATAAACAAATAAATTCGTTTGCAGAAAATATCCAGGTTAGAGTTACGCATATTTCTTTATTGTTTCCAGCAATTTAATTATAATTGAATTTTAATTAACCTAAATTAATGACTACTATCAGATGATTATAACGCTGATTTTACAAATACAATACACCCTGCTTGCATTTTTTATACATTTTTTGTTTTTTTGTACTTTCTTTAAAATAAAATGCAATTTCTCAATTCTTAATCATTCATCTTTGAAACATAATAATGTGGATCAAAATGGTTATAGGTATACTATTGATGTCAATAATTGACAATAAATTGTGTATTAAAATATAAATTGAGATGTAAAATAAAGTGTGCATTCAATTATGAAATACAAGAGATATTGATTGGCATTGTGGAGGTGATTCCAATCAATACTCCCACCTTTTTCTATCATACTGTAGTGTATCAGTTCTCTTACTTGCCTAAGGAAAGAACAAGAATATTAGCATTTCAAATAAGTGTTGGAATCAACTTTGATATCAATACACATCTTGTATTTTATTCAATAACTTACACAAACATAACATACAGAGAGAAAATACTTTCATAATTCTTATCAACTGATTAAATTTGTAACAAATGAGAACAGTATATTGGGTCAAATGTACACATACTGATATGCTCAATACAAAGGGATTTGCTTCTCCAACTGTAACTATATCAGCTCTGCATAATGGTAAAATATGTCATATCCTCTGAAGTCTCGTCTATTTGAAATAATTTCCGCCATTGTTGCTGTTTTTCTATACCCTGTGTCAGCTATAGTCAAAGTATTTTTGAGTTTGTGTCATTGATGGTTTCTGTATGCCTTAAAACAATCAGTCTTCCAGTGAAACTAGTGTGTTCTTGGATATGAAATAATTCAAATTGTAGACGAAATCCTAAATCTGGAACAAAAATTCATTAAGCTTTGGGTCTTAAAAGGTACACAACTTGATAATAAACAATCTAATTAATCAAGTCTTCTTAACATTAAATCGTTTGTCTGCTTAACTTTAAAGAGGTGCAGAAAAAACCAAAGAGATACTAGTTGTCAAACGCACAAGTCGAAAACGAAATGACAATACCATGGCAAAAAACTAAAAGCAAACAAAAGACAAACAACAAGCAATATTGTACAAAACACAAGATAGAAAACTAAAGACTGAACAACACAAACCCTCATCAAAAACCGGAGGTGATCTCAAGAGCTCCAGAAGGTTAGCAACCGTTGTTTTGCTCATGTAAGGTCAAACCCGGTGATAAGTCTAAATTTGTAGGTCACATTTGAGAAAAAATGGGACGGGATTGGGGTTACGACAATTTGAATATATCCGTCGTTATCAGAAACAGATATTCCATAACGGTAAACCAACTTGTGATGGCGTTAGTAAAATTTGCAAAGGAATGTCTTTAACTTCACCACTTGGAACTCTAGGTTTAATAGCTTCGCTGTAAGCAGCAACCCTTTATCACGGAAAGCATGCTAGGAAATATAAGCTCTGGGATATCGTATCAACTTGGAGATATATAATCCATATGTAGGCGCTGCTGGATTGTTGCTAAAAAGAAATTGAAAGTTCACAATTGGAAAGCGGAAATTATCTCTTTTGTAGTAAAGTTATGTTCTAAAACGACACTCATTGTCAATTTCCAGATGCTAGTCAAGATATGAGGCAGACTAAACTGAATCTGTTGTGTCCTTTATTTAAAGTTCGATGCGATAGATGCGTTAAAAATAGTCACCAAACTTGAATTATGCAGTGAGAAGACATTATCTATATAGCGGAACGTGAAGTTAAAGGATAATGCTAGCTTTGTTTCGTCCTTCCTTAAAAGCTCTTGCATGAAGTATGCCTTGTATTATCAAAGAAACAAGCCATAAAGAAGAAAAACACAGTTGCTTTCGATGGAATTGTCAATTGTTTGTGTGAAAAAGACGTCCTCTAAACGTAACAAATATGTTGTCAATCAAGAAATCAAGCATCTTGAATATTTGAGTTAAGGAGAATTTTTTGTTTGAATCAGATTACAATGATAGATAAGATAAGATAATTTATTGTATCAAAGTGTCACCATCCATTACGGTAGCTATATAAATATATATACAAAGTCATAAGAACCTAACATGTAGTAAAAGGGTGCCAGCTGAAAACGACTTATGAGACACTATCATTATAACAGACATCTAACAAATACATAAAAGGACAACATTTTTTACATGTAAAAAGTATTTCGTAAATAAAAAATAAAAAACAATACATATATAACTTCTAGATTGCATCATGTTTTCTTCAGTAAAACAAACGATACCTGAAAGAGGAACCACATATGTAATTGATAGTTGTTTTCTGCAAAAAGTGACACATTTTACCATATACCTAAATTGGTCGAACTATAATAAGTAATTTTCCGGAATATCCAATCTTTCTATTTCCATTGTCTACTTCCTAGAAACTTTGATTAAGTTTCACTTTCACCAAATGTTATCTCATGAAATTTTCTGTGTACAGTTACTGTATTGTGTACCTTTGCTTAAAACGTATTAAATTCACGTTTTCGAAGACGAGCTTCAGGTTCAATGGTTTTAAACATACTGATATTTATACAGAAAAAAAAATCTGTGCAAAGGCCATTCTTATAAAAATAAGGAGATGTGGTTTGAATGCCAATGAGACAACTATTCACCCAAGTTCAAATGAAGTGAATGTAAGCAATTATACGCAACCGTACGGCCTTCAACAATGAAAAAACTCAATACCGTATAGTCGGCTATAAAAGGCCCCGAAATTAAAAATATGAAACAATTCAATTGAGAAAACTAACGGCCTAATTCAAAACAAAACAAATTACGAAAAACAAATATGACAGACATGAACCAACGACAACCTCCTAACTTGGGACAAGCACATAAAGAATGTGACGAGGTTAAACATGTGTGTGAGCGCTCAACCCTCCCCCTAACCTTGGACAGTGGTGTTACAGTACAACATAAGATCAAACTATAAAAATCAGTTGAAAAAGGCTTATGTTTACTTTTTACACATTGTGACTTGGATGGAGAGTTGTCTCATTGGCACTCATACCACATCTTCTTATTTATATCAACTCATCGGATCGATACAAAGCAGAAAAAACATCAAACAAAAACACAGATCGGAGGTGGCAAGGTATTTATCCATCCCTCATCCATAATAACAACAAAAAAACTAAGTACAGATCTGAGAGTACTTATTGCTTTTTTCAATTTTTAGTTTTATTTAGGCTCTGGTGTTATATATATATATATATATATATGTGTTTAAACATATCATTGTTACTTACATTACTGATAATTTTATCCAACAAAATTAAAAAAAAATAAACTGTTGACACAGAGACATGTCTCGCCTGTATGAAAAAAGAATAGCATTACTTTAAAATGTAACTTATGCAAATATTCAAAGTCAATGAACCATAACTGAAGATATAGGGCCAAATAATTTAAATAAAATATGCCAATTATTATACAACAGCATTCCCCTTTAGTCCTTGTAGCTGGACGGCCGTGCTTCGTCAGCTTCTGATTTTCCGCAAAATACTACATGCAACTGCTGATTGTATGGCTCAACGACTTACTCCTTCATGATTGCAGAAAACTTACTCAACGCTTAGCAGTAACCATAGAAGTTCTGCGTCTGCATACACTACAAAACTCATTGTGGATGGGGGTGTTTTGCCGTCTGACGTCCAAAGGCCCTGTATCCATATCATTTGGAAATGGACCGTCATTACACCGTCTAACGACAGTGGTCCAGACCAGGCTTCCTGTAACTATTTAATACTACGTCTGTGACTAATCGACCAGTACTACATCAAGATGGTTAGCGGGCTGCCAGACAGATCTACCTGGCCCTGAATATAGGCGTTGTGAAGAGCAGTAAACCAAAATAGTCAAGAAACAAAATTAATTCACGTTTAAAACCAAAATAGCCGCCTTCTTCCTGTCCGCCCTTTTGAAAACAAAAGATCACCAAATGCCATCAAGGCACCTAGTCGACCGCGCGAGGTTTCCATATAACTTCTCTGCGCTAAGTCTTGTATCTTTTACATTTTATTTACGTACAGAAGTGGTTAATGGCTCAAATCAATGGCCTCAAATGTCTATCATGTACTATTTAATATCGAATCACTTCTTACTGACAAGATTTTTTGCTGAGAAAACTTTATTTTTTAAATAATTTTAACCTTGACAATATTTACAGAGTATGCTATTGATTTTAGGGGCAATATGACTAGTTTTATTAATTGTGCCGTGTATTACAGAAGAATATTATTAAATTATAATTATAACTTGTACACAAGTTAAATGAGTGATTCATAGCAAGTGTACCAGTGCAATCAAACTCTTGAAATCCACTCAAAATTCGTGGTAATTTCTTACTGAATTTATTGAAAAAGAGAAAAAAAATCTAAAGAAAATCCCTAATTTTTTTAGCGAAGTTAAAATGATGTAACAAAACGTTGTTTCTTTAGTGCCTGCCTATGGTTAAAGTTGAAAACAATATTGTTTGAATGGAGGAACATGCATATATCATGGAAAAAATGACAGACTAAGGTATGATCTCCTCCTATATTTCCTTAATATCATGGAATTGACAACAGTTATATTTTATCTTATCACTGTTAGTCCCCGAGAGTATCATCAGTTCAGTAGAATGTACTTCGTTACTATCAGAAAAAATCGGATATTGTTAGATTGAAATTTGCTGTTATAATATTTTTGAAATCATTTTATGATAAGGAATATATCTGCATCATGCAACGCTCTGAATTCTTGTCCGGTATGGGCTATAGTTTAAGTTCTTTTTGTTTTGCTCAGCACTTCCAACGTTTAACCTGTAAGTTGGATTTTCAAATATTTCAGCCTCGAGCATCACTGAAGAGACATTATTTGGCATCTGGTTCATAAATATTGGTAACGTTTATTTTATTAACACTTAATTTCTCAAAGAAAACAAACTGGAAGTTCCTTTTATTTTTTCTCACTTCGTGAGAAGAAGACTTTACTACTTAAATTTCCATAATTTCTCCGAGGATCCCAGTGGTGCAGTGGAAAGCTAAACAAGCCCACATTAGGAAGCAGCTCATTACTGGAGATGGAAAACAATATTTCCTATATTAAATGTTACTTAACTTAACTTAACTTTCAATTTCAAAAATATAACTCAATATAAGTCACATTAAGAAAGATTTATGATTGTTTTTAAAACAAAGTGTATACTTAATTGGACGCATCGCCCTACTTTTGTTCCATTGCTACAGTCCAGGATGCTCCACAACACCGAGTTAAAATCATATATCAGTAGACTTTTACTCAAACAATGATAATTTACATTCCAGGAAATGTTAATATTTCTGAGGAGAGAGATAAAGTGGATTGGAATACTATGGATTGTGTAATACTTGTGATAATGAGTCATGAAAAACCACTGTGTTATTTAGCACAGACTGTCAAGAGAGGGAATTGAAGAAAATAAAATAAATGTTTGAATCATCACAATGCCCTGGACTTAATAGCTGAGGTAGCTATATATTCATCATGTTACAGATTTTGTCATTAAGTTTGCATAGCAAGAAGACACACTAACAATTTTAGTCGTAGAATTCTACTTTTGTACAATTATTGTTTGTAATGTTGTAGCCATTTGGACATAGTTTGAGAAAACATCTACCTGTGGTAACATGTTCCGCTATACAAACTTAGCTTAAGTGTGCTTTATTAGATTTAAGTCTTTAACAAATTGACTAGATAAGATAAATTTTTTTTTTCAAATTGGGTAAATCTTGGGAGATAACCATATTTCCATTTCTCAATTGTTAGATCTGACTAAACTTCTATGTGATAGATGTGTGCCTACAAGGGACTCCTGGTTTTTTTCAGCAAATTCTTTTTAAACAATCTTTTGCTTACTTCTGTCTAATGTCTCTGAAATTTTTCTTTTTAAATTAGCATATATTTTATGCTGCAGATGGCAATATATAATACTGGTTATTCATAGAATCTGCCCTTGAAAAGGCTATTTTTTGTTTGCTGCTTGAATGCACACGATTAAAAAAGAAACTTGTGTCAGATTTGATTTGGACGAAAAAAAACCTCTGAAATCCTTTTTTTTTTTATCTTACGGGCATCTATATTTCAAAGCATATACCACATATTTCCTCTTTTCATACTATTACGGCAACTATTCTCTTTCTAATACACTTGGGTCATTGTTTTGTTACCAGACATATACCCTATTATCGCAACAATATGTCTCTATAGACATTTTCCAAATTAATTTCGTTTTATTCGCATTTCTTCCGCAAGTCACGTGAGTTTTGAAGAGATGCCACGTGACCAAAAACGACAAATTTACATCAAATTTAATTGTCTTCAATATTCAATTAATGTCCCTTCATATGAGTCTAGTATGGCCTTTATTGGAGCTCTGGTGAGAATGCTCTATTCAGTTCAACATTAATAGCGTCTTTTCCGTAGGTATAAAATACCTGAACGTGAAAGTGAAAGGGTTAATTAACTAACATAATCACAAACTTTAACATGATAACTAAGCAAAAGTTGATGAATCATGACTGAGGGAGCATAGCCTTCTAATCAACATGTAAATGATATCTGTCAATGTTGTTTCTTCTTTTTCTGCTTAGGAGTATTGGGAGGCGGCTTTCCTGGTGTGGAACGTGCGCCCTATTTATAACGTATTGTTATAATTTTTTTTCTCAGCGTTGCGTGTTCGCGACTGTTCTGACATTGTGAGTCGATTTTAGTTCTTACTGCGTTGTGAAGATATGCTTTAGTAAAACTCTACTGATTATTGAGATGTGTATGATGTCAATCAATATTGAATAGAAGCTAACTTTATATACAATTGCTTCAACATTTTAGGTAACAGTAGCCAATAAAAAAAATGATAATAAAAATAAATAAATAAATTTATGGATCTGAATGCTTATTACATAGATGGTTATCAATTATTGTATCCTGATAGCCCGATGTCAATTATTTTTTGTTTTAATAGCCAAAGATTAATGTACAAGTCATATTAAAAAACATTGAAATAAATAAATAATGATATCACCAATTTCTTTCACTTACTTTGGGCTTAAGAACACTGAAATATTATATCTAAACCCCCAATATAATACCAAGAGACCAGTTTGAGTTGTAGCCCATTGTTCAGTGAAGTTGCAGTCGTGCTGAATATTGACAACGACTGCCCTCGTTGACCATGGGACCTACTCAATCTGGTAAGTAAATTTTTACTGTATCCCTTCATTGGCACCGTAACTTCAAGAACTACTTTTACCATATGGTTGGACCCAGAAATTTGTGCATCCTGTTGCCAGTGAGGCACATTGTGTTCCAATAGACTATTTTCATATTACCGACTTTTGACTCCGGGTTATATAATTTGTCGACTGGTTACCTTGGACATCATGGTACTCGGTCAAGGAAGAGCAACGAAAATAAGTAAAATCAAACATATAATCGGTGTAATTTGAGGGGAAAGTTTACTGTTTTCCGATGATTTTGTAGTGAAAAAAAAAATATTAACCAGGTAATTTTCCCCAAAATTGTACCGATTGAAAGCTTGGTTTTACTTCTTTAGCTTGCTCTTACCTGACTTGGTACCATGATGTCCAAGGTAACCAGTCGACAAATTATATAATCCAAAATTAAAATCGATAGATATTTTAAATTGTTTGCCAAAATGAAGTTTATATCAAGCTTTTTTTCCAAACTACAATAAAAAGTATGGGTCGTGGGTCTTTTTAATCAAGCTACAAGTTGTGCAAAATTGTCAAATTTTGTATAGATTATACATGGAAACCCCATTTTTTTATGATAAAGCGAAAACCAAACGATTGACTTTTAAGATAGAATGTGAGAAGATAGCTATTATAATGTCTTTTCGGAAAATGAACAGAAAAAATGGGGTCACGGTACTGGTTTTCTTAATACACAACAAAAACGATAAATTCATAACACATTCCTTCATAAAAGTTACATTATCTGGGTTATCTCCCCTTATATGGAAAAGTTGAAACAGATTGAATCAAACATAAATTATCTTGATTGTACAAAAGCAGTCGTAAAAATATTAATAAAACACATGTTTTTTCTTCATTCAGATGAAAAGCCTAACAGATGAATAATATTTCATTCTTCTCACAAAATTTGCATTTTCAATTAGTGATCTAGACCGATTTTGTTTTGTTATTTTACAATCCAAGATGGCGGAAGACAACCGATCTACTTAACAAATGGTATCTTGAGTGCTTGTAGAGCTGTTAAAGCGTCTACAAATATTCCAACGTTATACGGTAACAAACCTTCTAACCATGATAAAAACAAATGAATTGCTGTGAATTGCAAAATAGTTTTCTGAAATGCAGAAAGTTTCTTGAAAACATTAAATGTTTGTAGTGTTTAAGTGTCATATAAATTCCAGTATGTGCGCTATGATTCCTTGACAATTCCAATATGCCAAACTAAGTTTTTATTTTCTTAGGACAGTCTTGACTGGTGGCCAGGTGCTCATACTTACAATTGGTGCATTTTGCATTTTCTTTACATTCCTTCCCTGTGTCTTCATCCCTACACCTTACACATTGAACCATATTCCTACACTCCCTTTGCGTGTGCCCAAAACTTTTACATTTGAAACACTGCATGGGTTTTGTTTAAGCTTTATAACTTTTAAACTCTACGATTACTCTATTAGGTAACTCAGCTGTGGTGAAAAATAATTGAAGTGTTTTGGATGGTACCCTTGTATTACTGGATTTGTCAACTAAAATTAGTCTTTGAATTTGACTAACTTGTTGTTTCTCAACTACTTCCATTAAATTATGTTAGACTGTATATAGAGGAACATTATAAATACAACCTAAAGTAGTATTCAGCGATTTAGGCTGAAAAAAAACATTGATTGACCATTGTCCTAATTGTTTTGCTTATAAAACTGCATATCAAATATCATTGACTTATTATAGTGGTTCTCCTTAAACTGATTTAATCACGAATTTTAACATATTGAACAATGAAAGATTTTCAAAGTGGATCCCCTTAAATTAACCTTATCGCAAACTTTAACAATTGTTGACGCCGCGGGATATAGCATATGTATTAATTGTGCCGTGTATTTTGGAAGAATATTATTAAACTATGTTGATAACTTGTACACAAGTTAAATAAGTGGTTCATGGCAGGTGTACAAGTGCAATCATTGATTTGAAATGCACTCAAAATTCGTGGTCATTTCTCACTGAAATTATTAAAAAAGAGACAAAAATGTCCGATGTTAAAATAGATGTAACAAAACGATTTTTCTTAAGTGCTTGCTAATGGCAATGTTGAAAACACTTTAGATTAGATTAAGGAACATAGATATGTCAAGGAAAAAATGGCATACTAAGGTATGATTACCTCCTATATTTGCTTAAATCATGAAATTGGCAACAGTTATATATCATCTTAACACTTACTTTCTAAAAGAAAACTAGCTGGATGATTTTCTTCTTTTTCTATTTTCTCTCACTTCATTAGTTCAAAAATTTTCCATAAATTCGTTAAGGATCCCAGTGGTGCAGTGGAAAGCTGACCCACAGCAGGAAGCATCCCATGGCCGGAGGTGAAATCATTATTTCCTACATTAAATGTAACTTAACTTTACTTTACTTTCAATTTCAAAAATATAACTCAATATATGCATAAGTCACATTAAGAAAGATTTATTTTTATGACTTTAAGACAATGTGTGTACGTACCTATTTGAACCATCGCTCTCTTTTGATCTATTGCTACGTTCCAAGTTATTATTATATATCAATAGATTTTTACTCAAACAATGATAATTAACATTCCAGGAAATGTTAATATTTCTGAATGCAGAGTAGAGAGAGATAAAGTGGATTGGAATACTATGGGTTGTGTAATACTTGTGATAATGAGTCATGGAGAAACAACTGGGAAATTTGGCACAGATGGTCAAGAGTTGGAATTAAAGAAAAAACAGAAATGTTTGAATTATAACAATGCCCTGGACTTAATGAAAAACCAAGACTAGTGTTTGTACAAGCATGCCGTGGGGGTAGCTTTTTTTGTTAGTATAAGATCCAAAACTATACCCTATTACCTGCATTAATTTCATTCTTTGCATGAACCTGGGGTTCACGCCTATATATTGGTGAGCTTTGGAAGCTTCTATGGGCCATTCGATATCCCCGGAAACAAGATTCTCGGAACGTCTGGGACAGTTTCGATCTTTTATAACAGGTAGCTGTTTATGTCTTTGATACGGTCCCTCTATTGATAGGCTACCACGTGACTGTAGATCGGAATATAGAAAAAAAATAAAGACTAGATTGCAGTAAAAAATCATTTAAATATTGGCACCTATTTGCCTTTATACAGAACATATGCGTTTTTAATAATGCGAAATAATTAGAATGTTTATTAAATATCAAGTATAATGATAACGCAATTATGTAATTCATGCTTTGAGACGGTCCCTGTGCGCTGTGTGTGTAGTATTTAATACAACGTGCTATTGTGTATTGTGCATTGTGACAATAAACCTGGGAATAGTATATATACTAATATATTATGTCTCAGAATAAACTGAGTATTGCTAAGCCTTTACCACGTGACATTATGTACTTCAGAGCCTGGGGAAATGTCGGAAAGCAAGCCTGACGAAAATTAACAAAACGATATTTCTATTATAAATATTTATCTTAGGTCGGAAAGCATAATTATAATTAAACAAAACAATAATCCTGTCAAAATATTTAATTTGATTAAGATACACTAAGAGGCCAAAAAAATATTCATTAACATTATTGAGTTTAAACAGAGACTAAATTTGTCATTAATAGAATATAATGTATAATGTTATATTATGTCCGACATGTCTGAACAATTAATACATTTATGAAAATTATATGCAAAATATGAGCACCAATTATCAGGGATGCGTACACGTAAGTTAGTAAAATTAAAACTGTATTCAATGGAAAAAAAAACAACTTCACAACGGTTTTAAATCCTTGCATCTCACAAAAAACGTATTTGATATTTTACAATAATCTTTTGATAACTACGTTAATTCAGAGATATATATACACATGTGATTTAGTTTTAGTATGGATTTATAATTAAGTCTCTGCTTATATTTTTTACAGCAATATGTTCATATAATGGGAATAAAGACTTGAAGAAGTGATTGATTTAATAAATAAAATGTCCATCAGTAAATACATGATGTTTGTTTTTATTGATATTATATTTCTAAATTTTCGGAAATGATTCATTAACAGGATTGTATGTTGATTAAATTTCAATTACTTTTGTTTTCTGTTTAATAGTTTAACCTTATAGCATCTTAATCTTTTCAATATGGTGCTATTTTGAAAATTGTGTATTCATTGTGTTGACCAGCTATCATACACCCGTCTTGGTTTATTTTCATTATAATGCACCCTGTTGACACGACACATCGGTTTGTGTTTACACAAATTTCGGATTAAATGGCCAGATCCGGAGTCAAAACACTTCAGGTAGGTAGTTTGATATCCGAATTCAACTAGCATTAGATTTTAGCCTAGAATAAATGTACGTGATGACGCAAATGCGTATTATAATCCAGAGTATCAGTGCTTTCCATTTACTACTTCTTGCGCTGCGCAAGAAAACCACGTGCATGCATAAATATTAATTTCACTCGCGGACTGTAAATTTTTGCCTTTCTTATCTAAATTCAGGACACGGCAGTAAGAGCTGGACATGTGACGTTGAATCATGGTCATCATAAGACTTAAAGTTAAGGTATTCTGACCTCTAGCTGTTTCTCTTTTCTTTTCTTTTTTTTTTTCTTTTTTTTTTGAGTGACTGTCCTATTATAAACTTTGAAATTTTCGAAATACTAAGGATTTTCTTCCCAAGGAATAAATATATTATCTTAGATGTATTTGGCAAAACATTTATTTCGAAATTTTGGGTCTTCGATGCTCTTCAACTTCGTACTTTATTTGGTCTTTTTAACATTTATTATTCGAGCATCAGTGATGAGTCTTTTGTAGACGAAATGCGCGTCTGGCGTAAAACATTTTAATCATGATATCTATATATACATTTTTATATATCTACATATGGTACATATCTTTTTTTATATTAATTTGTTCTTTTGAGAGCATATTCAGGTATTCATAAAATTTCTTCAGAACTAAGTTTTTCCTATAGAATATTTGGATTGGTTGAAGTAACTTCAGGAAATCCTTAGAATTTGAGATGTTTTAAAAGACCAAAATAATTTTCAGTATATAAGAGGTACCAATGCAGCTGGTGTGTTACTCTCAAAAACAAAATACGAAACCGTCTTATAAGTTGCATGCCACAGAGTTACACTTCACATGGAAATTGGACTTTCAATTTCTCTATTTACAACATTTACCATTAGTACAGACGACAGCTTCAATAATAAGTATAAGAATAATTGAAGTCATCAAGGAAACAAAACATGAAGATAAGACAGATGAAATAAATGCATCCAGATTATTTTAGCAAACTGAGTGCTTGAATTTATATTGCGATTGGTCTGTGCAATTTGCTTTAGACATTTGGTTCGCAGAAACTAAGAACTGCAATAGGATTAGGACTTTGTATGTATATTAAACACGAAGAAAAACTGATGTAAGCTCCCAAGTAATAAATAAAATAGTCAAGCCTTAAATGGTAAATTCATATATTAGCTGTATACACTTTTCTGTTTACAACTAAAATCCAACAGTGCTTTTAATTGACTTGTGTAAGAATCTACACACAATTACATATTTTCAATAAAGGTGTTCTAACATCATCAGTACCTTATTCTATTCAGTCAACTATTTCAAATCTAAAGCCAAAAAATAATCAGCAACATTTTTTTTGGTGACCAGTCAAATGTCTCGGGTTCACGTATTGCTTTTCTTTTTTTAAAGAAAGTAACTTGTTTCACAGTTTTCCTGCAAGTCACGTGACTTTTGGAAAGACACCGCGTGACAAAAAAATACATATTTGCTTCAACTTTAATTTTCTGAAATATGCAATCAATTCTCTTAAATATGAGTCCAATATATTCATTTTTTTTAGCTCTGGTGATAATGCTCTATTCAATTGAACTTGGATAGTGTATTTTTCATAAGTTTAGATCTAAAATATCTGAACGTGAAAGAGTTAACTTACCTAATCACAAACTTTAACATATAACCAATCAAAAGTTTCAAAGTCATCAGATCATGACTGAGGGGGTAGGGCCAACTAATCTTAATGTAAATGAGATCTGCAAATGCTTATTCTTCTTCTTCTTCTTTAGGGTATTGGGAGGGGCTTTCCTGGTGTGAAATATGGCAGTACTTATAAATTATTGTCATATTTTTTCTCTTAAGTGTTGAGTGTTCTGATGTTGTGAGTCGTTCGTGGTCTTTATTGTGTTGTGAAGATATGCTTTAGTAAAACTCTACTGCTTATTGATATGTTTATGATGTCAATCATTATTGAATAGAAGCTAATTATACACAAATCTGTACAATTGCTTCAATTTGTAGTAATAGTAGCCAATAGCCAATAAAAAAAATAAGAAAAACAAAAAAATAAATGTATCTGAATGTCCATCGCGAAGATGGAGATTAGATATTACTTCCTGATAGCCCGATGTCAATTTTATATTTTTAAAGCTTAAAGCCAAAGATTAATGTATTAGTCAAATAAATAAAACATTGAAATAAATAAATAGAAATATTCCTTTCACCTACTTTGGGCTTAAGAAAAAATATGTTATATAAACTCCCAATAAAATACCAAGAGACCAGTTTGAAATGTGGCCCCTTGTTCAGTGAAGATCGCAGTGGTGCAGAATATTTCCCACGACTGCCCTCAGTGACCATGGGACAACTGAATCAATCTGGTAGTTAGATTTTAACTGTATCCCTTTATTGACACCGTTACTTCAGGAACTACTATTACCATATGTTTTGGACCCAGAAATTGCCATCCTGTTGTTAGTGAGGCACATTGTGATCAACTTCAGTCGTTTAATAAACGAATGTATGTTACCAGCAGCCAGCTTGCCGTTTACATTGTTCCTTAATTCTTTTAAAATCTAAAACAAGAATAACAAACATTCGAACAATTAACAACTTTGTAGGGTTTTTTTGTGAAACAGGTCTTAATGAGTTCTTCTTAAATATGTAGATCCCATTTATTTCATATAAAAAGTAAAAACAGGTATTATCTTACTTGCTTATTAAATGACAGTCTTAGTGTTTAAGTCTATTCGTATCTTTTGCGTATTCATAGGATAAAACAATTATATCCAGTAAGCTGTTTAAATTTTTGCTCTACTTTTGCCTCATTCTTGGAAATTCAAACACAATCATTTTAAAAATATTCCTTCTGAATGTTTCTATCAATCCTTACATACTCAGTGTCAACTAAACGTTTGTACAAGGCTAAAAAAATGCAAAAAGAACTAAGTCCAATCACTAGTTAAATACAAACAAGTGCATTTTTTTTTTTTTTTAATTTTGCTCTGGAAACTTTTTTTTGTTTAAACATGTTTTATTTACTCAAAGATTAAATAAACCATACTTATGAAGTCCGCTCCGAATATACAAATGTAACAATACAATATCAATATGAGCATGAAGTTTTCAAAACATGTAATACTTTACAAGTCTAGCTATAGAAAAAAGATGAAACAATAATAATGGAAAAATTGGTAATGATGATGATGTCTTAAGATTTTTACAAGGCTTCTGTACATGTATCGTCCATGAAGTTATTTATGTTTTAAAAAAATTAACCCTACACTTAATTTAGAAAGTCTATCCACATCTATTTTAAGCTTGAGTATCGATCTACTCAGACTTTTATTAAATCAGGAATAATTACAAATAAATATATATATTATTTATATATTTAATCATGTTAAATGAATTTGACTTTGAAAACATTTAATCAACAATGAGCAACAAGTTTTACCTGGTCTGTTACAGAGTTGATAAATGCTGCACCGATGTTTTATAAGCAAACAACAAAATAACCTTATTAGCAGATAAATTTTATTTTTAAAAACACAGAAACGGTATCTTGGGTTGCAAATCAATCATTGGATTGAGGAACACAGGGCAACCACTTAGTCGATGTTTCCGTTAATCGAAACAACGCAAGGCAATATATACAGTTCAAGAAAACTACGCATACGCTTAAATACATGAACAACCCGTTTGATTATGTTTTAATTGAGGCCAAAACGTCAGTTATCAATTTCGTTAGGGAAGTTGAATAAAGGTTACCTGATTGAAATAACATCACTTCAGTTAGTTCAGTCCTTATCTCATTACCTTTTTGAAATAGAACACAGCGGAATTCCCATATTGACGTCATGCTAAATACAGGCATTGCTTTGTACTGATTGTCCATATTGTAAAATAAACGCAAAGAAAAAGGGGAGATATCAAAACAGCGTCGCTGATGAGTCTTTTGTAAATGAAACGCGCGTCTGGCGTACAAAATGTTAATCCTGCTATCTATGATGAGTTTATAATGAGAAGAAAATTAACGGATATTTGTTTAAATCAATCTGTTTGTTTATTTTACTTTTTTAATCAAAATAATTTTACGAATCTGAGTTGTTTCTTAATGTAAATCACAAAACGGTTGACGTGAGAGTCTTGGAAAGTAGAAATAAACATCAATTCAATGGTAAATGTTTTAAGATAGCTTTACAACGATCTTATCCTAAAAGTGCTCTAATTTTTCTTCAACTTTACATGATTCACAGAGGTTAGTGTTATAGAAGAGCCTATTTTATGCAGATGTTTGTAAAGTGCTATATAACCAGTTCTTATTAAAATACAAGTCTTTCTTTCTTTCTTGAATTTTAAATATTTTTATGTCGAAATTAATTTTTGAACAAATTTAATAAAAACAAAACTCTGTCTTTGTTTTTATTCCATAAAAATGTGTATATAACGTTTAAAATCGTCTATGAACAATGGTACAAAAATATTTATATCTTTAAATTGAGTGCCTGTTTGGCATGATAATTAGCCAATTCATTGCCTTGGGTACTTACATGATCTCAATAATAAATGAATATCTAAAAATAGATCTTAAGAAATGGTATCTTTAGTGCTTCTAGCGCTGTTTAAGAGTTTTAAAAAATCACAACGTTATAGGGTAAAACCCTTCTAAACAATGATAAATACCGCTGTATTGGATGCGATACGATATTTATCCAATCGAGACAGCTAAATTTATACTATATAAATAAGAAGATGTGGTATGAGTGCCAATGAGACAACTCTCCATCCAAGTCACAATGTATAAAAAGTTAACAATTATAGGTCAAAGTACGGCCTTCAACACGGAGCCTTGGAGATTTCATTACGACCAGATCCCCCAAAGAAATTTAATGATGCACAATTTTACAGAAAAAAGCTATAACAAAAATACTGAACATCGCACGTGTGAGGAAAACCCGTGTACTGGAAGAAGGTAAATAGTATTTATTGATTCTGAAAGAATAATTTAATACACCAAATCATTTAACAACTTTTATGACAAAGTTTAATTAACTAGAGGCTCTAAAGAGCCTGTGTCGCTCACATTGGTCTATGTGCATATTGAACAAAGGACACTCTACAACATTGTAGATGAGTATAGAATTCACGTCAAAGGTCTCTGTTTTGTTGATCTTGTATTGCTGATCATTTATTCTGTTTAATTTCTATCTATCTTCTTTCGTTTTTGCTCAAAACACACAAGAGGGTAAAAAATATACTCATTTAAGGGCAGTCACTCCTATAAAGAGTGACAGTCTACTAGTGTTTATGTATCTAATATAGTTTTTATCATATAAGGCAAAACGCAAAAGTAAAATGGTGAAAATGTTATAAAAGGGCAATAACTCCAATAAGGAGTCGTTGGACGAGTTCCTTCATATGACTTAATTGTAGATCATGTCTTGCTAATCATTTTTGCTTATTTAAGTTTCTATCTATCGGTTATAATTTTTAAGATATAAGGCAAAAAAGCAAAAAAAAAATGGTAAACATCGTCATCAAAGGGCAATAACTTTAATAAGGAGTCGACTGACGAGTTTGACCATTGAACTTATTTGTAAAGCTTGTCTTGCTGATCATTTTTGCAATTTAAAGTTCCTCTTTATCTATTATAATTTTCAAGATAGTAGGCAAAAAATGAACAAAAATGGTAAAATTTGTCATTTAAGGGCAATAACTCCTGTAAGAAGTCGTCTAACAGTTTTGACGTATATGGACAATTGGAAGAGCTCAACATTCTGAAAATTTTTGCGCTGTCAGATTTTCTCTATGCTTACAGGACTTAGATAAGTAAATATGCATGCATTGTTTAAATAACTTCCTTGTAGATATATAATTTCAAGAAACTCGTTTCATATGACTTTAATTAAAAATCGTTGTTCTATAATGTCTTTTAAGCATGTCTGCTGACTTGTGACTTGAATACTGATTAAAATCAGGTTTTTGGAGAAAATTCAAAAATGTTTGATAATATTTCGTTCTTTCTTTGTCACTTACATTAGAGTTATTAGAAAGTTTTTTTCTTATCTTACGTATTTTGTCGATGTTTTTGATGAACTCTGTACAGTTGATCATACATCCAATAAGAACAGAACCATCAACAAGATTAGGGATGGTTCTTGCCGAAAAATAACAATCAGGAAAACATCATTGAACTTCACGTGGTTCCGATGGTCACTTTGCTCAATCCATACAAGTCCAGATAAAATTTTAGTTTTTATTAACTGTTCGATTCTTATGGTGATTGAGTATTGAAGTTTTCCATTGCAAACATGTGTTACACAAGTTACTCATCTCTCTTTCTTATTTTGAGTAATAAGATTAAGCTGGTCGTTAAGAGTCCCATAGAGGATATCGGTTTAATCATTTACATACTTTTCAATTCCACTTGTAAACAAAGTTAGAGAATATAGAACATATCCAGTTTTGTTTTTCACTGTTAACTAAACCTGCATTGGCCATTTCAATCTGTAAATGTTTTTCAATGCCACCAATAACTAAAATAATGTATTTGACATATATCATTACCTTTTTATATGTCTATTTATCAAACAATAGATCATCTCCGAAACCTGCAATTTGTTAGATAAAATTCAAACAATCATGATTTTTATAAAAATTTTCTATAGAGGTCTCTTTACTTCGACTGTATGTAATGGTTGGATTCACATAAAGAAAACACTGTATATACTGTGTGATGATTTAAACGAAATCAATAATATCTGTGAGGTGATATAAAGGCATTACGTACATCTTGAGAAGATTGCCGCCATATCACGGTTGATTAACCATCTAACAAGGATGTCATTTTGTACTGCAATCAGAGTTCATTTTTTAAACTTTAATGTACCGGAAGAACACACACCTATATTGCATATCAATGGAAAGAGGAAGATATGTACAATAACAAAAGTTTGGCCGTAAAAACCCAGAATGGTTACATTTTTTGCGAAATTGAGTTCAAAGGTCAAACCTCAAATATATCATAAATTCAAACATTAAGAAAAAAGAAGGAATTTTCTGAGATATATTTAGTAGATTGCTACAAAAACGATTTAATAATAGGCATATACTGCAAAGGATGTCAAAAAGGCAAGTTTATCTATTTTTATGAACAGCTGTCATTACAAAATGGCGTAAATGATGAATCTTCTGACTTTTTCCCATTTATGACAAAGAAAATGTAGATATGGCCTTGACATTTTCACATCCACTAACTTTTTCATTGCTTATAATTTTTCACCGCAGCATATAACAGAATCATTTTCTAAATTGTAAAACAGTAGTTTCTCGATATATTTCAGTTAGTTTTCTTCATTTAAAAAAAAACAGAATTCAAACACTGAAACTGTGTTTTTCCATCTTGCTTACACATGATGTGTATTTTGGAAAATTAGTATGTGGTAATAGATTCGCATATATCATGTACTTAAAGTCGAAAGATCAGTTATAACTAAAAGAAAAAATAATGTCAACCGAGGCGAAAGAAGTATGTGCTTTGTTTCAGTGTAAACGAAATTATGCCATTAACATTCTCTTTGTGGGATTATCCTGGTAAAAATGTGTAGTCTCATTATTTTTTTTAGCACAGTAATTGATTATAATGTTAATTAACTAATGATGTAATTTGACAATTGGCCAAGACCCTTATATAACTTGTCTTTGCAGGTCTACAAACATTAGCTCTGGTCTTCATCAAATAGGGGTAAACACTAAAAAAATGCTCCATACTGGGAAATTATATACAAGAATCTTAGCTACACGTCAATCTCTTCGTCATTGTTTGCGAATCCGGTAAGCGTATTAGCACGCTTCACTTCCTTAACACGGACAAAGTTCGGTGCAAGACAGATTTACAGGTTCAAAATAAATCTTGGAAGTAATCTGAAGACATGGGAGGAATCTACGACCATATTTATTGCTGGTTATTTATTGTCCCTGCTTGAATAAATTCATCATCGATACCCGGATTGAAATTTTGTACGTCAGACGCGGGTTTTGTTTAAAAAAGACTAATAAGTGACGCTCGAATAAAAAAAGTTAAAAAGGCCAAGTAAAGAGCGAAGTTGAAGAGCATTGAGGACCCAAAATTCTGGTAGGTTTTCCAAAAAAACAGCTAATGTAATCTATGAAACCACAGTTTCTGGCTGTTTTTCATTGACGGGAATTCGAAGAAATGCACACAAAGAATGGAACATCTGTATCTGGAGACTTTTTACCTATTCGACCCTTCTTGTGTTTCCTTCCTATCTCTCTGTCACCAAACATGACATGCATGATCATTTGG